AGGGATTGAAATCAGGATGTGTATTTCACAGTTGGTGGCGTAGGTAATCGAAAATGAAACCCTTTAACCGCTTTTTAAACGCAAGCATGGTGTCAAAAGTCAAAATTTTGTTCTCAATCGAAACCGGTGGTGGAACTTTTCATTGACAGAGAAAACGTTAATCGGTATGGGCGCATAAATCCGTGTTTGACTCCGCCAAATGAACGCGCAAAGGAGTCGTGGTCATAAATTCGAAGAGATCGTCGGGATAACCTAACATTCGCATCAGCTGATAGTAAAAATTGTCAAAAAATGCAGCTACAGGATAACACCAATCCTTCTGGATAATACAGACTCCGTCGTCCGTCGCATCACCTGCTGAATTATGTTAACGTCTTTGCTTAGCCAGATCATCCAGAGTGGTCGATCGTATTCTTAATATGATCTAATGAAGCCATCAGAGATCTACACTAAAAGATTTTAAGGGAGGAAGATAATGGGCTCCCTTTCCTCCAGTGTCTGCTGCCATCATTTTTGACACTACTTTTTTAATAATCGGAGGACACCAAGCGGGATGTTGTCCAGATAAGTAGACTTTTGTGTTAACGATGAACTTAAAGTCCTTGGTATGCAGTGTTTGTAGGAATTTTGCATGATAAAACTTAAAATGACGTACGGGCCAGTGCGGGCAGAGTTCATGAACGTATGCAAAATATCAAATCCAGTACGGACCCTCTTTGCTTTTATTATTCCAACACGAACGCAGAAAATTTCCTTCTCAAACATTCCAATAAACCTCAATCGTATTTCAATCTCCGTTATTTGTTAGTTAGGCAGCTATTCTCAATGCATGTTTTGGTTGTTTAATTTGTTTAAATTGGTGTAGTTCACAGTCAAGGCCAATCCAAAATCAGCAGCCATTGTGTGCGAATAATTTGTTATACAGGTCAATTGATGTTCCTTTCTCCCTTTTAAATGTTAAATAACTCGTTTTTGATGCCTTTTTGCCTTTCATTTAATTGTGGGCCTCTAATTCGCAGAGTAAGCGTGCGATTGTCGAAGGTCATTCTGGAAGGTCGCTCTGTAGGACACCGTAAGCGGGCGGGACGATTTTATCAACTGACCTTGGCAAAATAGCAGAGTCATTTTATCGTATTATATCACAATTTCGTCTCAGTTATACCACTTTCCGTCGTAAAACGTACATGTTGCTGCTTACTGGCTCATTTTAGATGGCTTCGTTATGTTTCTGTGACGACAAATTTGTGGCAGGTTTTGTAATCATTGTCAGCGTTTTAGCGTTTCCGACGAATGTCCTGGGTTCCAGTGCGCCTATGGTCTTCTATTATACTTAGTTTTGTGGCCTTATAAGCTTGATTGTATAGTATTCCTCAATTCGAACCAGACCTGAGACCGAAAGGAGGAAATGAACCCTAACGTATGCAGCTGTACACCTGCATTGTTCAACATTAACCCATCAACGAGTGATTTGAATGAGGTTTGGATTTAAGATCTAAATAAAGTGGATAATTCACTACGGGACACCACCAAATAACGCCGTACGGACGTGATTATGCATGGACTTTTTTCACAGCCGATGTAAAAAAAGGTTAAACTTTCGATATCTTTTCGACAACATAACTGCAGTTATGAATTATAGCATGCTATAATTCATACTGAGGCCTTGTCTGTGTTTTTAATTTATTGTCAATTGAGTTAATCTTGTCCGACTTCTATGGTTCGGTTTTGTCCTTTAATATAATGCATTTTATTTTTTCGGCTGCAGACAAGCTGGCCGATCACGATGTCAGACTCTCCTCATTACACTCAGGGTAGTGATGGAATAACTTTCCATGTTTCGACTGAGGCCGCATATGCAGCTGACTCTGCCAATGAAGACCAGCATCCCTCGGATTCGCACTCAAAGAATGGTGACCGTCTTGAAAGTTTTGAACAGAAGGGTTCACAGTCATCATCAAGCACCACTCACCTGACTATCCAACTGTCAGAGGATGCTGAGGGAAGCTCACTAAGTCAGCAAAAACTAGAGGAATTGATAATGCAACTTTCCCGATCAGGACAGTTGCAATTAAAAGAGGAGAGCAAGATTATTATAGAAGTGAGTTCGATTGCTGAATACATTTATCTATAACACGGAGTTAATGCACAAGATTTGGTTTTCCTCTTTGAGTTCACTTTCAGAATCGTAGCCATCAGTTTCAACGTTACCATTATAAGGTTTGCTAATTTTGGCACCAGTGAGAATTTTTTAATTGAACTTTGATTTTTGAGGGCCTCAGACAGTTGTTATCCCTCTGGACTTAATCAATGTTGGCCTTTTAGCATATCCTTTCGATATATTTGCTTATTGATTAACACAGACAGCCTGGAAGAGGGAATGTAATGTGTCAACTAATAAATTGTGTAATGACTTATTTCCCTTACATTTGTAATTAGTCGATAAGTTTGCATCATTCGTTTTGAAAATGTGCTTATGTTCTGCCACACCAGTTAGTTACATTCTGTACTCCCAAACATTCTGCACTAAAACATGCTTACTGTCATTTACTATCCTATTTCGTTTTGCCCCTCCCTAGGTCAAAGGAGGTCAAAAAAGCGCGGACTCTAAGCAACCTAAAGTTGTTGATCAAGCAGTCGAGT